CTGAAGCCACAAAGCGGGTTGTAAACTCCTTCTAAAGCTAAATAAAATGTAATGATTGACCTCATCACAATGCTCCCTGAAACACAGCACCACAACTCTTCTGTCAATCTGTTCTAATACATAAATGTGTCTTATGTTTTAACTTGGTAATTTCTTATCTTACTTAGTGTATTTATGTTTTATATTTATATATACTTTTTATTTTTATTAATATTATAGTTTGTTTTTTTTAATCCTTTAACCACTTGTTTCTATTTCTTTTCCTGCTCTTTCCTTCTTATTGCTGTTATCTTTTTATTTGCTTTTAGCTCTTTTAGTTTCTTACATCTTTTTAAATCTTTGGTTCCTCTTGGTCTCAGCTCGTGTTGTTGGGTTCTTGTGTTTCCTGGGTTCTTATAATGGTTCTTATAATGGTTCTTGTGATGGTTCTTGTGTTTCCTGGGTTCTTATAATGGTTCTTGTGATGGTTCTTGTGATGGTTCTTGTGATGGTTCTTGTGTTTCCTGGGTTCTTGTGATGGTTCTTGTGATGGTTCTTGTGATGGTTCTTGTGATGGTTCTTGTGTTGCCTGGGTTCTTGTGATGGTTCTTGTGTTGCCTGGGTTCTTGTGATGGTTTTTGTGATGGTTCTTGTGATGTTTCTTGTGATGGTTCTTGTGTTGCCTGGGTTCTTGTGATGGTTCTTGTGTTTCCTGGGTTCTTGTGATGGTTCTTATGATGGTTCTTATGATGGATCTTGTGATGGTTCTTGTAATGGTTCTTGTGTTTCCTGGGTTCTTGTGATGGTTCTTGTGATGGTTCTTGTGATGGTTCTTGTGTTTCCTGGGTTCTTGTGATGGTTCTTGTGATGGTTTTTGTGATGGTTTTTGTGATGGTTCTTGTGATGGTTCTTGTGATGGTTCTTGTGTTTCCTGGGTTCTTGTGATGGTTCTTGTGTTTCCTGGGTTCTTGTGATGGTTCTTGTGATGGTTCTTGTGATGGTTCTTGTGTTTCCTGGGTTCTTGTGATGGTTCTTGTGATGGTTCTTGTGATGGTTCTTGTGATGGTTCTTATGAATGTTTCTTATGATAGTTCTTATGATGGTTCTTGTGATGGTTCTTGTGTTACCTGGGTTCTTGTGATGGTTCTTGTGATGGTTCTTGTGTTACCTGGGTTCTTGTGATGGTTCTTGTGATGGTTCTTGTGTTTCCTGGGTTCTTGTGATGGTTCTTGTGTTTCCTGGGTTCTTGTGATGGTTCTTGTGATGGTTCTTGTGATGGTTCTTGTGTTTCCTGGTTCTTGTGATGGTTCTTGTGATGGTTCTTGTGATGGTTCTTGTGTTTCCTGGGTTCTTGTGATGGTTCTTATAATGGTTCTTGTGATGTTTCTTGTGATGGTTCTTGTGATGGTTCTTGTGATGGTTCTTGTGATGGTTCTTATAATGGTTCTTGTGATGGTTCTTGTGATGGTTCTTATGATGGTTCTTGTGATGGTTCTTATGATGGTTCTTGTGATGGTTCTTGTGATGGTTCTTATGATGGTTCTTGTGATGGTTCTTGTGATGGTCGGGTTATATATGTCTGTTGGGTATCGTGCACTTTGGGTTCTTTTCTGTTGAATTGTATTTCATTATTTTGAGTATTTAGTATTTGTTTGTTCTTGCTGTTGTTTATGTTCTTCTGTGTTTGGTTTAGTTTGTTGTTGTTTTTGCTGTTTGTCAAAGCACTTTGTAAACCTGTGTTTTTAAAAGCTGCTGTATAAATAAAGTTATTATATAAAGAGACACATTTCAGGTAACCTGATCTGTTAATTTCCTGAGGAGGAGTTTGAGAGTTCAGGTTTTTACTAAGCATTGAAATAAATATTTCTGATTGCATCCATGACTCAAAGGGAAAATAAATCTGTTTAAAAAACAATAACAAGTCTAATAGATAAAGAGATTTTAGATTTTTCCCTTTTTCTGAGTTTCTATTGCTTTACGAACCCCTCAATACTGATAAGGTTTTCTTTATTTTGCACGTTTTTTTATTGTAATTACATCTATGTTACACATGTGGAGGGACATCACAGATAAAACAAGTAAAATAAGGTGATTAGAGTAAAAAGAAGGACTTCTCTGTTTAAATGAAGGAAACTTGTATTTAATGGGTGTTTTCTGTGTAAACAACAACAAATTGTGTTTTTGAGGATAAGCAGGTGAATTAAGGAAACCTGAAACTACAAGTTTAAACTGAGAGGATGAATATTAAACAGGAGACAGACTGAAGTTCAGACATCTCAGGGTCCCTCTCCTCCTCATCAGAGTCTGCACAGCTGTTTCATAAGCTAGTTAGCATACGGCTATCCTTTCTCTGCGGGGCTAACTGCTAATGAGCTAATAATAAACACTGATAACCTCCATACGAGCAGTTTATCTAAATATATATAAATATATGTGACACAAAGTTATTAAAGGTTAACATGCATCAATGCGATTGTCTCCACACTCCGCTCAGCTGAGCATAACAAAGCTAATGTGGCTAAAGTTAGCTAGCCGGTGTTGCATTTAAATCCAGTATGTGAAGAGTTTCCGGTCACATACTCACATTTACAACAGTGATTTTCCACAGCCCGGTCTCCGGTGCAGCGACAACCGCATCCATTGCGCTGATTGAAACCACGAGAAGGACTACCCATAGATAGAAAGTTCCTCTGGTCGGACAGCTCCACGTCCCCATCCTGACTGCAGCAGCCATGTTCGTTGTAGGCGTTGAGCTCTCATCTGTCGGAGGCGCCCTGAACGCAACAGCTGGAGGACGACGTTCAGGTGTCGCCGAGAAATGCAGAACTGCCAAGAACTCTCAGGACGATGCAAAATGTGGCAGACACGATTTCTACACTACCACATTTTGCATAAACCTTCAAAATTCCTCACTTTAGAGTCGAGCACTGTTACAGGTCATATTCACGCAGGCAGGCTAATGAAAATACGTCTTCTACCCATAAGGACTCTTAACTGTAAACATTCACATGGAAGCCCATTTCCACCAGTTAAAAAAATAAAAATGAAAATTAGGCTTTGTTGAGATTTTTGTCGAAATAATGAGATAATAAAGTCATAATTATGAGATAAAGATCAACATTTTCTCTTTGTTTGTCGTGTCCCTTGCTCAAGTGGTTTATTCTGTAACTGCTCCAGGGGCCTGTATGTACATCCTGTATGTACATTTCTTTAATGTAGTCTTCAATGTGACCACGATGCATCCTTGAATGTCTTAGTTATGTATTTATTGACTTATTTATTTCTGTTGTCCTTAGACTGAGCTTTTCATCTGGCCCTTGTGGGTGTCATTTCCCAAACAGACCACACGAGGGTCTCATCGTGCCAACGCTTACCTTTGCCAAATACTGATTTGTTTGTTGTCTCTGATTAATCTCCTTCTGTTGTTTGTTTGTAAATGTCTGCATTGTATGGGTGGACTCTGGAACCAAATTGCCCTCTGGGATAAATAAAGTTGTCTAAGTTTAAGTCTAAGAAATTATGAGCTAAAAAGTCAGAATTACGAGTTGGTAAATGTGCATGTGCTCCAGCTGGCATTGCAGTCCCCGCATCCCCCTCACTCGCCCAGCCATGTAAACGATATGCAATCCTAAGGCAATTCAAGCAATCCTAATTCTGCCAAATGTAGTAAATGTTAGATGCATAATAAATAGTTATGTCTTTTAATATGGTTGTCGCTGGAACTAAACACATTCCATTACTGTTTAAGTAGCATTGACTGGACCGTTTAACTGTCAATGTGTCACACAGTTATTTTGTAGGCTAAAGTTCACGATAGTAGATGGTGTCCCTGACTTTATTATCTTATAATTTCGACTTTTTATCTCATTATTTTGACAAAAATCTCAACAAAGCCAAATTTTCATTTTTATTTTATTAACTGGTGGAAATGGGCTTCCATACATTTCTGCCACTGTGATGAAAAAGAAAAGATCCTCTAAGTCATCTTAATGAGTTAATATCTCAAAATAATGAGATACTAAGTCATTATATTGAAATACTAACTCATAATGACTTACAGGATCTTTTTTTTTTTTTATCACAGTGGCAGAAATGGGCTTCCATAAATCTGCCATCACATATCTGCCACCAGAAGTAAGATTAATACATAAACTGTAAAAATGTTTTCTAACACTTCCACGAGGTGCATGCAACTCTCTGCATAACACCTTTACAGGGAGGATGGGGACGGTTCGTTAACCCCATAATAAACTGCATATTCCCTACATATTAATGCATCTTTGTTAATTTATTTTATTTATCCTTTAATCTACTTTACATCCTATTGTACGAAAATGACCAACAGGGTACTTTGTGTACAGCCAACCGCTCTGTTGCAGAAACGCTCAATGAAAACTAAATCAATAATCTGTGGCACACTAAAAAATATGTTAATGTTACCTTTATTGTGAGCAACTTTACAGTGTGCCACAGATAATTGGTTTATTTGCCATCCTTTAATATAATGTTAATCCATCTTTTATTTGATTTACATGCGGTGCTGTCTCTATACCTGAAGTATTTGAACATTATTTACTCTTTCATTCAAAGAACAGTAAAGGTTTACCCCAAAAGAACTCTCTGCTGTAACTTTCTGTTTTACTGTCCGATCTATGATGACGTAAGGAATGTTCTTTTTTTTCTTCCATTGACATTTATGTAAAACTTGAATTGTGTTTTAGAAGAGAAACCTTTTTTGCAACAGATTTTATCTGCAAAGCATGCTGGGAGAAAAGACAGAACACACTGTTTAAGACTGAGCTGTGACAGGAACATGCGACTTTGTAGTGTTATGAAAATGTTACCGTGAACCACTGCAACTGAATTTCTTATAAACCCATGAGGGTTGGGCACTTTGGTGCATGACATGAAAATAAATACAATCAATCAATCAATGTACTTATCCTGCTTCCCCTTGAATGACACCACTGCAGGAAATAAATATGTTCACATAAACACCGTCATCAATGTGAGGGAATTGGTAAAATGATCAAATTGCGTCTTACTTTAATGACGACATTAAAACTCATATTTATACATTACATAAGATCACTTTATAAACGCTCTGTACATTTCTATATTTACATCACAACACAAAATCCAATACAGTAATCAATTTCACAGTTCAGTGTATCTTGAGCTTATGAAAAGTGTGTCGGAAGTTGACACAAAAAGACGACAATCCTAACACTGACGTAAAGGCTGGCCATGGGACGCATTAACTGCTGGTGCTGCTGCAGAAAGTGCACATGAGGAAAAAGTCAAGGTGCTCCCAGTGCGATGAGGCGCTTCATTTTTTGTTTCAGTTTGGATCTTCACAGCAGGTGAGGTGTCACTCGAGCTGTGATCCACCGCCGTCGCATCGGTTGCCCTGTCTCCGTTTGCACGACTTATTAAAAGAGGAGTGTTCGCAGCAGGGGGTCTCATGGAGGGATCGGAGGAGATCACCACCACGTAGCGATCGTCGCCCTCCTCCTCCTCCTCCTCTTCCTCCTCCTCCTCCAAGCTGCCGTGAATGTCCGCGGTGACGACCGAGTTTTCTGCGGTGTGGTGGCTGCAGGAGGGCGACGAGTTGAACAGAGGATGATCTGCAGGAAGCGTTTCTCCTTCGGCGTCCTCTTCAGGAAAGCTGGTGTTGATATAGATGATGTCGTCCTTGCTGAAAGACTCTGGAAGTTTCTCTGTGAGCTTTTCCATCATTTCCCGCAGCTGCGTAAAGGGGGTCGGTCCACCGGTCGGCCCTCCAGCAGCTGTACATGATCTCATACCTGCACACAGGGGAATAAAGGAAGTCATTTAAAGGGGACATATTATGAAAAATCCACTTCTACAGTGTTTTTGAACATATATCTGTTTAACCTGAGTGTCTACTGACCCACAACATGTGAAATAAACCCATCCAGTCCTTTGTTTGTGGTCTGCATAAGTCTTACAACACAGAGAAAAATGCTCCGTTTCAAATGTGCTCTCCTTGTGATGTCACAGTGGGATTCTGGTTAAAAAAAAAATCCCCTCCCCTCCCCTGGTATCTCCACCCATGGACTCCACCCCCAGACTAGATCAAAACTTTTGAGCAGGTCTGCCATTTTTATTCTCTCTACAGAGGAGTGATGTCTACAGGGAAAACTCAGGGGGGGGCTCATTTCATTTAAAGAGACACACACACCAAAATGGAGCGTTCTGAGAGAGCTGGTTTATACAGGGTCACAAACCTCCTCTGGTGCTTGATTCATGTTATATTCTGAACAAAGCACAGCACAGATGTTTCATTTAGACCACAGGGGGACTGTTTGAAAAGGTGGAGGAGGAGGGATGATATGTCCCCTTTAATAGATCATGATACATATCTTTAAAGGAGTCCTGCTTTTTGGGTGCAACTATTACAGAGAGGAGGAGATGTACTTACAGCTCATCCAAACAGTCTGTCGGCTGCTTCAGTCTGTGTCCTTCCAGTAAGTAGTCGTAAATTTCATGATTCTGGATGCCGGGATACGGCGTCATGCCTCGTGTCGCAATCTCCCACATGGTGACTCCAAATGCCCACTGAAACACACAGAGTAAGATACTTTATACAAAGCCTACATATTTATGACTACTCTTCCAATTTGTAAGAAACCTTTAATGCAAACCTAAAAACTGTCATCGCTCTGCTCTCTACAAATTACCTTACTGAACTAGATTAACCTTCAAACTGTATATTGAGTGGTGGTTTATTTGAGGCTCTTATGTTTTTTTTTCTTTATTTCTCGCGTTCATTCACAGATGCAGAACATCTGGCTCATCCACAGCAGCTCTCATGGTGCATTCATGCGGGGACGGACACGTCGGAAAAACGAGTCTCCGAGTTGTGAAATGCACATGAACACCTGCTCAAATCGGAACAACAACTTGAAAGGATTAGGATTAGGTGCCCGATTTGCCGATATGGCGTCAGAATCGTCATCACATGGGGGGCAATATATGTTTAGATAATGTTAGGATACGTTTTATTAATTCACGTATTGCACATCAACTTTTTGCTAAAATATAACATTAGACATTCCACTGATCTTCTTCGTCGCATCAACTTTTTTTGCTGGTATTACAACATTCAGACTTTCCGAACTGTAAGCACATGAACACGATGAAGTCGGAAGAATGACTTCCCAACTGGGAACTTTGGACTACCCGAGCAGCACCTGAATGCAGCATCATTCCCCTCCTCATCTTCCAGAGAGCTGCCAGATTGTCGTCACTACTCGGTGGTTTATCGGCCCCGTTAAGAGTCATTATCAGATTGTTTTTGTGCTATCCTGTCTTCTCCTTTTTCATTCAAACTGCTTGGTTTTTTGTATTCTTTCCCGGTGCCTCGCTCTGCTTTGTCCCAGCGCTCCTGAACGCCACCACTCCTCACCACCATGTATCTATATTGTTATTTGAAGTTCACTAACAAAATGTATGAAGCGAGAATTTATTCATCCTCTCTATTTCAAATTTCAAGAAGGGGGGATAAACATTAATTAATTTTCCCATCCTTTAACACTTAAAGAAATCTTTAATTTTTCATCCAACAGTTCAAGAAAACTGGATTTTGATCTATTTCTACTTTTACTTAAAAGTGTTCTGAAATTGCCAGAGGTTACAAAATATGTGCAGAAGAAATCAAAACTCCAATAATAACCACACATTGATGATAAACGACGTCACAAAGACTTTCAAAACAAAAGCGGCACCACAACCCTTCAGAAGAACGCTGAGTAATTAGCTCAGAGTCAACTCAGCTGACGACTCAAAAAACACATTTTAGGAAGAGTCATGAGTAGAACCAGACGAGGGGTTCGGCTCTTCTTCTGGTGACACACACAGATGTACTCACCACGTCGCTCTTTATTGTGAAAACTCTGTCGGCCAGACTCTCCACTGCGATCCACTTCACGGGCATTTTGGCGATCCTGCCCTGCCGGTAATAGTCTCCACTGTAGATCTTCTTCGATAAGCCGAAGTCGGCCACACACACAGTCATGTCGTCACGCAGCCTGGACACACAAACACACACGTTAGTTCTTTGTTGTTCATTTTCATCTCTGCTTTGTACGGTGACCTTGAATGTTTTAAATAGGCGTCAGTTTGGGATCCCTAACCACTTCCTGTTTGAGTGCTTAACTTCATGTTGTGACCTTAGATGACCAAAAATTCATAATTTTCTTTCAGAATAAAAGCAGGTTTGTATCAAGCTAGGAAGAAAAGTATCCTCATCCTAAAACAGTACAACATTTTCAAAATAAAAGCCCAACAAAAAAACTGTTTTGAAGTGTTAAATTTCAAACCTGCGATTTAAAGAAAGCTGCTGTCCTCCCTCCTCATTCTTTTGATGCTACGTTGTTTTGTCATGGTTACCTTGGCTGTTACGTGTCATTTAACTATTAATAAAAGTTTGATTTTGTAACCTACATGCAGTTGCGAGCCGCCAGATCCCGGTGCAGAAAGTTCCGACCGCTGAGATACTCCATACCCAGAGCGATGTCCACCATGAACTTCAGAAGAGTCTGAGTGGGCAAGAACTGAGAAGAGAACCACAACAATCACAACTTAATGTTGTTTATTCTTATATTAATATTCTATAAAGATCATTATTTTGGATTCTTTATCTCACCAACGGACACTCTCCCAGGCGCGAGCGCAGCAGGAAGCTGTGTAGGTCTCCGTATCTCATGAACGGCAGGATGACCATGGGCTTGGGAAAATTCCCAGAGCCCACTTCCAAGCACACACCTGAAGAGGACAAATCAACGCACATAATTACTGCACAGGTGTTCAAATGAAGGAAGACCAGTATTTAGATTCTTCTTGACTTTGTTTCTCCTACCGAGCAGTCTGATGACATTCGGGTGGTTGAAATCTTTCATGCACGCCGCCTCATTCAGGAACTCTTCAATCTCCTTTTGAGAGAAGCTGTCCACTGTCCGAGGAGAAAATTAAAAAGTTATCCGCTGCTTTTATTTTTGTTTTTTAGTAAATGGATGATCGCTTTTAGTAAAAGAAAACTTACATTTCATTGTCTTCACGGCGACTTTTTCTGAAGAGCCGTCTATTTGTCTTAAATGTCCCTCCACCACGGAGCCAAATTCCCCTGATGGGAGGAAACCAAACACTTCATATTCTGCACAGCATGAGTTACTTAAGCGTTCAAACGTGTGGAGTTGACAAAATAAAATAAAAAAACGGTCCACTCACCCTCTCCCAGAACTTTCCCGATGGAGAGCAAGCTCCTCATGACCATCACGTCCTGAAGCTTGGCCTGCAGGTCTTCACTAATGCCGAGGTTCCCCACTGCAGAACAAAACCCCACTCAGGTTAGTGTGTGTGTTTTAAAATATGCTGACAGCATGGGGGGCACCAGTGGCCTACTGGTTAGACCCCACGCCCCATGTACAGAGGTTATAGTCCTCGAAGCAGGAAACCTACATCTGACCTGTGGCTCCTTTTTCCTTCATGCCTCAAAATGTGCAAATGATGCAACGTTGCAAAAAATTAAATAGACAACACAAAGTATATTCTTATTAAACATGTTAACAGTTTTAGATTGTTTACTCATTGACACCGAGAAGAGTCAGCAACAATATGTATGCATTTATGTCACGGTGCTGTTTTTTATGGATATATTGACTGTATGGACCTCTGTTGCAAACCAAATTGCAGCTCGGGGACAATAACGATTTTCCAAATTGCAAACAGCAATTGGACTCTTTTTATGTTATTGTTTTCTAAGGTTTGTAAACAGCTGGCTGTTAGATATTCATGTATCAGATCATGTATACCTCTAGGAAATCTAATTAGCCTTTTCTTCTACACACTTCCTTCCTGCCTACTTGAACTTGTCAATGGTCCCAGTTGCAGCAGGGATTTTATTTACATCATTCGTTTTT